AAAGAGAAAAAGCGCTTTCACCACGAGTGAAGGCCTATTCTCATTCACGGTATTACTATTTGGACTGCCAACAAGGCCGGCAGTATTACGAGAGGTATTCGAAACACTTCGTAAGGGGAACCTGCGGCTGAAGCCCCAAGGGTGTGAATTTCTCAAAGACACTGTCATGTTCTTAGGGCATCGAGCCGACAAAGATGGAATCAAGACGGGCCTCGAGAAAATAAAAACGATCACAGAGTATCCGCAACCCTCAAACGTAGGTGAGTTGAGGGCATTATTAGGGATGGCTTCTTATTACACGAAGTTCATAGCTGGTTTTGCCAAATTGACAAAGGGTGTGTACGGGTTGCTAAGCCCAAAGGCTGCATGGGAATGGACACCTGAACTGAGTAAGCAGTTCGAATGTTTGAAGGAAGCGCTAACCATCCCACTAGTTCTTGCCCAACCCAATGTTGCAGCAGCAGAAGAAGGCAGAAAACCCTTCATAATCTACACAGACGCGTCAGGGAGGGACTTGGAGCAGTGCTTCACCAGGAAGGACAAGACTGATTTTTTCATCCAGTAATCTTTGCTTCGAAAAGCCTGACTGATGCGGAGAAGAATTATCGCATTACCGACCTCGAAGCCCTAGCCGTTGACTTCGCTCTGAAGAATTCATTTTTTCGCCTACCGCTTACACACAGTAGTACGAACTGATCATCAGCCATTGACATGTCTGTTCGGCATGGGTCCTAACAAGGGAAGGATACTTAGTCGCAGTTGCCATTCAAGATGAGATGTATTAGGTTGAGTCATAAGTCCTCCGACAATGTGATAGTAATGACTTCTGGAGATCATAACGCGGCAAAGAGGAGACGAAAATGGACGCGCGAGGCATCGTTAGATAGAGAATAGAAAGCTCTTCCGAATACTAACTAAACAATACACCTGACCGTCTCCTGCGCTCGAGCGTACAGGAGAGAAAGTGCCATGTCGGCGAGGCAGTCTATGTCATACTGCTTCAAAGCATGAGGCACACATTGGCCGAGCTTTCGCACCTTGCCGATTGACTTCAATCCACAAATACCTATGGATTGACTCCCCAAGAGTGACTGCCAGTCCACGAGAGATTGATACCAATCGGCTTCCATGTGGCTCCGCAGCACGTCCAAATCCAACTCCATTGAGTGTCCCGGACGGTCTTCATCTTCGATGGAATAGTCGTCCGACGTGAATTTCTAGTGCCACTTATAAATTTTGCATCTGGCAGGAGGAGCAAGCTTTTTGTAAACTTCCTCCATACATCTATCGATCTCCGCGGGGTCTTGGTCAGATAAAAAAAAATAGTATGGTGTTGCGTAAGTGAAGTTGCGACGGCTTGAAATCATGGGGCATAGTTGCAGGAAAAAACAGTTACGTGTGTTCATCAGTATGTATTTGGAAGAACTTTTCATACCCTATCTAACGATGCCAAGCGCGTCCATTTTTGTTACCTCTTTCCCGAGTTATGATCACTAGAAGACAACACTATCACTTTGCCCGATTACTTATGACTCAACCTAATAATAGAACTCCCCATGTTTTTGCACAGCGACCACATTTTGAGATAGGGTCAAGCGTTCTGCCACTAGTTGGGTGTTCGAGGTTTTTTTAGCATCTGCTCGATACATTAGAATCTTTTTACAACTCACATCATCGTCGTCTGCATAGGCGTCATTGGTTGTTGCATCTGGAGTTGAATCGCTCCAGTACAGTGAATAGCTACTGGACGGATCCTCAGGTAGATCTGTAAGTGGTGGAGGGCCGTTCAAGTGGGTTAAGACCCGTGGACGAGGCATCTGTGCCGAAATCGACGGCCCTGGCGAGTCTGATGAATACCCGGTGTTCACCACCTGACTGCCCACACTTCGACTCGACAGCGGAAGAACTTCCTAAGATTTGCTTGTTTTATGTTTTTCCGATTTTCACTTTTCTCCAGATTTTGAGAACCTACCGTAACCACAGTCCTCCGTCTAGCTTGCTCTTCCAACAAATCCAGTTCAGCTTTGGAGGTGATAATCGGTGGTGGGAGGTGGTGACCACGAAATCTGGGTCTAAACTAATAATATAAGCAGAGGACACTGTTCTATTATCTTTCCCAGTTTGTGAACGAACCCGCTCATGTATTCAGAGGGAACGGCTCGTGGAGCCGCGGAACTGATGTTGAACGTATGATGAGGTCCGACACTGTCCTTCAAATTGTTCCATTGTTTCAAAGATCAGTAAATGAAAAAAGTTTTGAAAAAAACTGACCTGTCGGCGATGCGGATAGGTTCGGTAGCCACTATGGTCGGTACTTCGACGCGGCATAGGTATTCGCACTGGACTTCTGTAGTAGTCCGTCGATTCGAAAAGCTTGAAATCTGGTTTCTTGCAGCACATCATCATGTATAGCCTGGAAATAAACTCTTCACACTATGATGCGATATCGACTGATCATAACAATATAGCCGTCTTACGTGTGTCGATAGATCCATGCGGTAACTGCCAATGTAGCTAGAACTAAAACAGCGACTAATGGCACAACTACCCACAGAACCCATTCATTCATGTCGGATGTAGGTTTCACCTGATTGAGAATATTCGCCGGAGTCATTCAAAACGGAAGAGCTCACAACAACTAACCATAACCGTTGAACAGGAGTAGATTCCGGTTTCCCGCAGTTCGCAATTATTGCCTTCAGCACAGGTGTCCGGTAGAAGTGGACTGCACTCGTTGATAAGAGG